CCCATCACCCCACAATGCGCCCCAACACCCCCACAATGCGCCCCAACACCCCACAATGCGCCCCAACACCCCACAATGCGCCCCATCACCAATTTGAATCCCTTCACCTTGCAAGTCGGTTCAGAAGATGATTAATATGCTCCAGGTTTCCTCCCGGGACAGCTTGTCGCCTTGACGGTCAAGCGAGTAATACCTCCGGTACGGATGACTATCAGAATCCAGTCTTACCAAGCCACTCCTATTTTGTTTTCTTCTTTTATTTAAGACACAATAATACAATGTATACATACAATAAAATATCCTCACCTACAACCGACAAAACCATAGCATAACTAATCTCAATAATTACATACAATCATTCTAAGCGACTTACTCGTAGTTATAATCAGGATCCCTCCAAGACAGGCTCTTGCCCTCTCTGCTAAACCAAGATCATTTACATCTGTCAGCGCTCTCCGAGTTAGCAATGCTGGTCCCATACCTCAGACACTTTACAACTACCCGTGTCAACCTTTGACCTCTCAAAGCAACCCTTGTTGGTGCGAGGCGCCGCGGCCCACACCTTAGAGTGGTTCTAGTGGCCAGGCAAACCTCGGTAGTTCAAAGTCGGTATGAATTCGATCAGTGGTTTAGAAGCGGAAACCAGAAGTGTTGAATTCCAGGATAATCACGCATCTGGCTTCACAAATTCGGAGGGAAAAACCCCACTGCCATCACTATGTTTTGCTCTTGTTTTCTTGTACAAAAATCAACCAGGAAGTGACGTGGACAAAAATAACCAGTCCGTGACATTCAGCAGACAATTGCTTCATCCGCTCTGTAATCGAAATCACAGATGGCAAGCTAAACAGAATACTTCTACACCTTAATATTGATAATTTCGGTTTAACTAAAATGTTTACCAGACATTACTAGGCATCTTGCAGTTAACGCAGTTTGTTCCAATTAGAAAGAACCCGAGTTCGATTCCCGCAACAGGACAGATAGTTGAGCACATTTCCTATCACCTGAAGTCTGTGTTCACCTAGCAGTAAATAGGTACCCCCCAGGAGTAAGGCAGCTATTGTGGGTTGCATGCTGGGAAAAGTCATCAGGAGGTAGCCTAGGTGAGGGTGGGGTGCTACAGGAGCCTAATAGGCTACCTGCTCCTGACAATGATAAACCACAATAACAAGAACTCTTACCGCTTTCGTGTAGTGGGAATTATTTTCACACAATTTTCGCAGCTGGAGAACTTAAAAGAAGCCATGACAAACTTCTCCGACCTTGGTGGGACTCGCCTGTGTACTGGCCGGCTGTGTGTACTGGCCGGCTGTGTGTACTGACCGGCTGTGTGTACTGGCCGGCTGTGAAACATCGCTGAGTGAGACGACAGCACTTAGCACACGCCAAGGTAACCGACAATCTTCACTGTTCTAGATCGCAAATACTGTACGATTTTACAAAGCAATTAACAGTGTCTAAGCGATGAAAATTAGAAGTCATCTCTCAATCTTCCATCCATTTTTGTATATTTGTAATGTTCTATATTAGATAAAATTGATCCAACAAGCAGACAAGGATAACGACAATTTAATACAAGTATATTATAACTACCAAGCCAATAATTGGGGGCCCCTGTTTAAACTATCAGTGGATCGCATTCTCGCGGAACACCAAATAGGGAGAGGCAGTAAATGAGCAGCAGGAGGGATCAGAGCCTCTACTCAAACAGGAGTCTGAACACTTCGGTGCATGTACTCTCTGAACCAGGGTTGTCGAACCAGTGGTACATGCATATACCTTATGGGTGCATGCAACCTCGGCAAGAATGGAGCGGTGCATGGAGCTTCTACATAATAGGAGAGGGTAGGGGCAGAACTGAGGCCAAAGAAGCGGGTGCTCTCTTTCGTGTGTGTGTGTGTGTGTGTGTGTGTGTGTGTGTGTGTGTGTGTGTGTGTGTGTGTGTGTGTGTGTGTGTGTGTTGGTTGCATTTCGACAAAAACGGAGAGGGGAAGAATGCTTCACATGCTACTGAAATAAACTTTAAAAGTTACACATGCGATCTCCTCTTCTTAGAGTAGATTTTTTTTATTTTTATTTTAACAAACTTCATTACAAATGTTAAATTTAAAATTCCTTCAAAAAATTAGTAATTTTCTGTTGATTTTTCTGCGATGACGAACGGGTTTGTGAACTTACAAAATATTAACCTTTCTTTATAATACCTCTACAATTATTAATTCAAATGTAACTATTTATATATGTTCTTAAATAAAAGCGTCAATTTACAAATGAGTTGAGAATATTCATTCATTCCTTTTTCTCAGTACAGACAACATGGTAGACTTAAGGGAGCACAGGCGGGGACGAACCTGGTCAAGGATGGACGTACCACACTATACAGGTCAGGCAATGTTGCTCTTAGGTGCGAGGAAAGAAGAAAATGTGTTTACGGGCTCACCATACCCCGTGCTACATGGACACTTCGTTCTGAGTAGCTAAATCTAAAACAACAAGGAAATGTGGCAGCGTCTCTGCCCGAAACGCTGCGCGTACTAGTGGCTTTACAAGATTGTAAATACTATGCTATGTATTCTCGCAAACCCAATGTACCTTGACCAGACCACACACTAGAAGGTGAAGGGATAAATAAATAAATAAAAATAAATAACCATTCTCAAGTAAATTAAATAAACACAATAAACTAAATAGAATGGTCCAGGACGGACCGAAACGTCATCGTAAATTCACCTTCTAGTGTGTGGTCTGGTCAACATACTTTAGCCACGTTATTGTAACTCTTCGCCTAATAAATAAATAAATAAATAAATAAATAAATAAATAAATAATAAATAAATAAATAAATAAATAAATAAATAAATAAATAAATAAATAATAAATATAATAAATAAATAAATAAAATGTAAATTCTTGTATATAAATAAATAAATAAATAAATAAATAAATAAATAAATAAATAAATAAATAAATAAATTAAATAAATAAATGTGTGGCTGGAGAGCGTCGACCCGCGTCGGCGCTCCAGGCGGCGGCGCCATCTTCATGCAGACATGCACGCCACGCCAACACTCGACAAAAAAACAAAATTCTATATCTGAGGCTTTTGTTATACATAGTTTAACGTTTGTGCCATTTTGGGGTAAAGATTTGGTTGCAAAGTGTTAAGAGAACAGTTATTGGGTTAAATATTGTTTTGGGGATTGATTAGATTTGTAGCGGCTAGTTTATTGTGCACCTCATACTCATCCTGTGAGCGGTAGCGCAAAAAACATTACACAGGGTACAAAAGGTCTTTATCAGACCCCAACGGAGATTATTACATAAACAATTTCATCTATCCTTCACACCTTATAATTACAATGTCAGCTAGTTACAGAGAATTTTCTATTTCAAGAGCTATATATTAACAGTGAGTCATTATACATTAATGGTAAGTCTTATCGCTAATACATAAATGTCTGAGGAATGGAGGTATTACATTTGGGATGCGTATGCATGAATCCTGTGTTATATCTTGATTAGAACGATTTATAATGATTAGGACGATAAAAATCGTCTTAAGTACATCTAGAGACTAATACGATTTTGAAAAAAAAAAAAAATGTTCACACATACCAGTAATATACGAAACATCATAATTAAACAAGTACCAGGAAAATGGTAACTATTATTAGTCAAATTAATACAATAAAAAAACGATGAAAAAAATAACTTTAAAACTGGCCCTTCACTACTAACGACCGGAAGGTGACTATAAGCTTCAGGGTAAATGGTGGTGGTCAGGGGTGGAGGCCTGTGTTCACCTAGTTGTGCTTGCGGGGGCCGAGCTCTGGCTCTTTCGGCCCGCCTCTCAACTCCCGCTTCCCGTTGCCATCAACTGTTGTTATTGTTATAAACACTCGGTGCTTCGGAGCTCATTAACTGTGTCAAAGCCGCCAAAGATTGAGGAAAGATGTTCACTAGGCTTGCGTAAGTGCTTTCGTGAATCTGGCCCCTGGCTCTTTCGGCCCGCCTCTCAACTCCCGCTTCCCGTATCATGGCACCGGCCTAGCCTCCCGTGTCGTGGCACCGGGCTAGCCTCCCGTGTCGTGGCACCAGGCTAGCCTCCCGTGTCGTGGCACTAGGCTAGCCTCCCGTGTCGTGGCACCAGGCTAGCCTCCCGTGTCGTGGCACTAGGCTAGCCTCCCGTGTCGTGGCACCGGGCTAGCCTCCCGTGTCGTGGCACCGGGCTAGCCTCCCGTGTCGTGGCACCGGGCTAGCCTCCCGTGTCGTGGCACCGGGCTAGCCTCCCGTGTCGTGGCACCGGGCTAGCCTCCCGTGTCGTGGCACCCGGCTAGCCTCCCGTGTCGTGGCACCGGGCTAGCCTCCCGTGTCGTGGCACTAGGCTAGCCTCCCGTGTCGTGGCACCGGGCTAGCCTCCCGTGTCGTGGCACCGGGCTAGCCTCCCGTGTCGTGGCACCGGGCTAGCCTCCCGTGTCGTGGCACAGGGCTAGTCTCCCGTGTCGTGGCACCGGGCTAGCCTCCCGTGTCGTGGCACCGGGCTAGCCTCCCGTGTCGTGGCACCGGGCTAGCCTCCCGTGTCGTGGCACTAGGCTAGCCTAATACAAATCATAAATACTAAACAAAATTAAGCTTGCCTCTGGAAACTTTATATTTTGTTGAGGCTTTGGTAATAAATTGTCTATTATTTGCATGCTTCAGTGCTCCGTGAAGCATCACTCACACTGACCTTTTTGTTTTATGCAATTCAATATTCAAGGACACAAGCGTTGACAGCGTTCAAACAAGAATAAATTTATGTAAAATTGAAATCAAACGGCGGATAAGTCATTTGTGTAATATTTGAACAGTTAGATGCACCAAACAGTCATCAGATGCACCAGTCATCAAATCAAACAGCCGTTAAGACAAATCAACAACAATCACGGCTGACAGAGCTGCCACACAATGGTAAGAACACATTCTCAGTCACCAAGACGGTGGAAGATAAGACCAACCTTGTAGTCCACTGGAAGCGGCGAGGAAGAGCGCGATCCTCACCTCACGACAGCCAGAGGATTACTGTCTATTGTACCGCTGCCGCTCACTTTATGAAGGCTCAGGTGGGTGGACCTAAGCGGGCCCAGGCGAGGAAGGCCGGTTTGGGGATGAAGTCATTTTTTCCCCTCCTGCTGGGGATGGCCAGAGGCAGGTGGGGGGGACTGAGAGAGCCAAGCATCACCAGGATACTCGCGGAGGTCAGCAAGGTTATTGCAGGAGTGGCCGGCCCTTCTGCGAACTATTTCGTTATATCTTCAGCGAGAAAAAGCTGTAAATTTGATAAGAATTATAATCTGGTAAGCCGGGCATCGGATCAGAGGGTGAGAAGGCTCGTGTCGTGTATATACAAAAAGTAGACTATCCCTGTGAGCTACAGTCCGTTCTTAACCCCTCAGGCTACGCTCGGCCATGCTGCGGCAGACCCCCTAAATGCGCATTCATCAACTATATCGTACTGCCTATTTAAAATAGGTATTTTCTTATATAAATTAATCAGTCTGGTGTTGACAACGTCTTCAAACAGCCGAAACGTTCATCATCTTTTCCCATTTCTTTGTGGATTTTCCGCATACAAATGATCAGTGTTTCGTGATCGTCAATTGCATAAATTAATATTATTCAATATTAGAATTGGTTGAATAGTTAGGCCTAAATGATGTTAGGTCAGGTGTTTAGGTTCTCTTGGTAATTATTCAACCCGTCTTCACTAGGCTGTTTAAAGCAGCGACCGTCCTCCCCAAACGCACTCATCAGTTTTAACATACTGTGTATTAAAAATTGGTTTGTTCTCATATATAAATTAATATTATTGTACATTAACGTTCTATGAATAGTTAGGCTTAGATTAGGTGTTTAAGTTCTTTAGGTTTACATTATTTGCATTTGAAGTACGTGGGTGAAACATTTACAGAGTTGTGGTTCGGACAAAAAACGTTAACGGAAAACTGGTCGAAAAAAGTACATTTGTGTACTTTTTAGCAGTTCAATTTCGATTCGATTCAACAGTTGAATCGAGCGTAGATCGTGTTTTCATACATAAATAGGGTCTCGAATCACGGACCATAAAAGTGGAAGACTGTAGCTCTATCCAGCCCAACCTCATCAACAAAGGCGCGAGCTCGTTAATGCAGCCGTCAAACCCCGTTAATGAATGAAAAGCGGTTTACGCACGACTCATAACTGATGACGTTCGAACATTTCTCAAACAGTGTTTCGCTGACATCCTCTGTTCGAACCATAATTCTATAAATCAGCCCGTCCACCAAACAAAGACCAGCCCGTCCTCCAAACAAAGATCCAAAAGTGATTCCATGCACCCGCCAAACCCCCTGTTTATGAATGAAAAGCGGTTTACACACGACTCACAACTGCTGACGTTCGAACATATCCGGAACAAGTGCTTCACTGACGAATTTTGTTCGAACCACAACGCTATAAATGCTTCACCCACGTACTACAAATACAAATAATCGCCAACAGAACCTAAACACCTAACCTAACCTAACCTATGCCTATATATGCACAATATGCTAATATATTATAATATTAATTTATACTTGAGAAAATTCCCGTTTTGAATGAACAGCATATTAAAATTTATGAATGCGTCTGTGGGGTCGACCGCTGAATGTAATGGACTTGAGTCGAGGACGGGTTGCAATGAAAAACGGTTTATACACGCAAACCATCTTCGACTCGAGTCCATTCCATCCAACGGTTGACCCCACAGACGCATTCATAAATTTTTACATGCTGTTCATTCAAAACAGGAATTTTCTCAAATATAAATTAATATTATAAAATATTAGCATATTGTGCATATATAGACATAGGTTATGTTAGGTGTTTGGGTTCTGTTGGCGAGTATTTGTATTTGTAGTATGTGGGTGAAACATTTACAGCGTTGTGGTTCGAACAAAAGTCGTTAGTGAAGCACTTGTTCCGGAAGTGTTCGAACGAAATCAGTTGTGGGTCGAGTGTAAACCGTTTTTCATTCATAAACAGGGGGTTTGGCGGGTGCATGGAATGGACTTTGGGGTCTTTGTTTAGAGGACAGGCTGTATGCACAATATGCTATTATAATATTAATTTATATTTGTGAAAATTCCTGTTGTGAATGAATAGCATGTTAAAATTTATGAATGCGACTGTGAGGTCGACCGCTGGATGGAATGAACTTGAGTCGAGGACGGGTTGTAGGAAGATCTTAGACACATACAACTAATGTCCAGCTGAGCCTTAGACCTCCCCGGGGTTCCCACTTGAGCCTGGAGGAAGTAGGTGATCCATGTCACAGTCATATAAATTGGCAACCACAGGAAATGTCGGTAACATTTCATTCACTTTAGTTCGAGGCTCCTATGTGCCAAGTGAGACTATACTTGTTGGAAATTGAGGGAGGGAGGGAGGGAAGTATCAGGAGAGAGCACCAAGCCATTACGACTATACAGCACTTGGAAGGGGTAAAGATTTGGGATGGGACGGGGCGGGGCAGGAAGGAATGGTGTCCAACCATTTGGACGGTCGGGGATTGAACGCCGACCTGTATGAAGTGAGACCGTTACTCCAAGTGAATGATATGTTATTACCCACGTTTATTGCGGCATATTTTTTTGTATTTAGCGAGCCTGGAAATGAGAGTAATTTGCCATATCCAGCAAAAAGGATACATGGGGCTCGCCTACAACCATCCTATGTTCTGGCCGGAACCCAGACCATTGACCCTGCAAAGTCTCGTGAGGACTGTCGCAAGCTTCTAGCCGCCTAATTTAAAAAGACAGACAGACATCCCCGATTGATTGATGATGATTGATGAAGATTAAGCCACCCAAAAGGTGGCATGGGCATGAATAGCCCGTAAGTGGTGGCTCCAGTATCAAGAGCTGATACTGGAGATCTATGGAGGTGCGACTGCACCCTGCGTGACGGGAGATGTCTCCCGTGCAGACATCCCCTCTAAAGGGTATGATATATATGCTAGGAGCACCCGGCAGTGCCCGGGTGCTCTCACCCTTCCCACGCTTTCCCTCCTCGTCCTCACCACTATTTTCCCTCATTCCCCTCTGTCACTCAGTGAGTCACAATAATGTGGCTGAAGATATGATGGCCAAACCACTCACCAGAAGATATAGAAACGACGACGTGGTCCTGGACCATTTATCAAGTCACATACAGTTGAAAATGGTCCAGGACGGAGCGAGACGTCGTTGTTTCTCCATCTTCTGGCGTGAGTGGTTTGGTCATCACGACTTAACATGATGTCAGTGAAAGTATAAATAAATTGGAAAACTTTTGCCAAAAGTTCTTTTTGGCAAAAGTTTGGCAAAAAAAAAAAAAATTGTTCTCTTGCCAAACAAGAGAGATATTGGGAACACAGTTTAATAATTCGTCTCCATGTCGTTTGCAGAAAGGTTTCCAGTGAGCGATTTGTATGGTGCAGTAGGTAGTGATCTTGTGGGGTTGAGTGTAGTGCCCGTGTTGTGGTGGAGGAGCTAGGGTGAGGGAGTGAGGGGTGGGGGGTAGTTGGTGAGAGTGCAGGGAGCGGTTGGGTGTTGTGGTGGTGGAGCCGGGTACCGTTGCAAGAGCATTGTGGGTGTGATAGCATAACTGATAAGAGGGCACGGTTGCAAATATGGCAGTCTTGATTTTGGCGTTGAATTGATCGTGATTAGAGGAATTGTTGATGTATGTGTGTGTGTGTGTCTAATTACCTAAGTGGTTATTTATGTGTAGTTACAGGATGAGAGTTACGCTCGTGGTGTCCCGTCTTCCCAGTATTCTTTGTCGTATAACGCTTTGAAACTATTGACGGTTTTGGCCTCCACCACCTTCTCAATTAACTTGTTCCAACCGTCTACCACTCTGTTTGAAAAATAAAACGTTCTAATAATTTTTCAAAACCTTCTTTCCTTAGCTTGAATCCGCATCTTCTTGTTCTTGAAGTTGCTGGTTTCAGAAATTCTTCTTTGTCAATTTTGTCGATTTCTGTTATTAATTTGTAAGTAGTGATCATATCACCTTTTTCTTCCATCTTCTTACCTTGGCTTATGTAACGCCTCTAGTCTCTCCTTGTAACTCTTGTTTTTCAGTTCTGGAAGCCATTTTGTAGCATGCCTTTGCACCTTTTCCAGTTTAATGATATGTTTCTTGAGATATTGGCACCATACAACTGCTACATATTACAATGTTGGTCTCACAAAGGACTTGAACAGTTTTTTTAGTATTTCATTATCCACGTAGTTAAGAGAGAGTTTGAAGTTGGAAAGAGGAGTATGTGTGTGTGTGTACTCACCTATTTGTGCTTGCGGGGGTTGAGCTTTGACTCTTTGGTCCCGCCTCTCAACCGTCAATCAACAGGTGTACAGGTTCCTGAACCTATTGGGCTCTATCATATCTACACTTGAAACTGTGTATGGAGTCAGTCTCCACCACATCACTTCCTAATGCATTCCATTTGTCAACTACTCTGACACTAAAAGAGTTCTTTCTAATATCTCTGTGGCTCATTTGGGCACTCAGTTTCCACCTGTGTTCCCTAGTGGGTGTGCCCCTTGTGTTAAATAGCCTGTCTTTATCTACCCTGTAGATTCCCTTGAGAATCTTGAATGTGGTGATCATGTCCCCCCTAACTCTACTGTCTTCCAACGAAGTGAGGTTTAATTCCCGTAGTCTCTCCTCGTAGCTCATACCTCTCAGCTCGGGTACTAGTCTGGTGGCAAACCTTTGAACCTTTTCCAGTTTAGTGAGTGAGTGAGAGAGTGTGTGAGAGTGTGTGTGAGAGTGTGTGTGTGTGTGTGTGTGTGGTGTGTGTGTGTGTGTGTGTGTGTGTGTGTGTGTGTGTGTGTGTGTGTGTGTGTGTGTGTGTGTGGTGTGTGGGTGTGTGGGTGGTGTGTGTGTGTGTGTGTGTGGTGTGTGTGTGTGGTGTGTGTGGTGTGTGTGTGTGTGTGTGTGTGGTGTGTGTGTGTGTGTGTGTGTGTGTGTGTGTGTGTGTGTGTGGTGTGTGTGTGTGTGTGTGTGTGTGTGTGTGTGTGTGTGTGTGTGTGTGTGTGTGTGTGGGGTGTGTGTGTGTGTGTGTGGTGTGTGTGTGTGTGTGTGTGTGT